AAAAAGATGATTAATAGCTAGGGGAAAGCCGCTTAATGTTTATTCAATGTAAATCAAATGGGAAATGACAAATACATGGAAAAAAAGAGGAGCAATAAAAAAAAAAAAAAATTTAACAAAAAAACAGAAATTTTACTTACCGTAAATTAATTTTTCCTTAATATAGTGGCAGTGCCGGTGGGTTTTGTATCTTTCTGATGGACAAGCTGACTGTAAATAATTTTTAAAAAGAATTTAAATAGTCCCTCCTACGTCTCCTTTAAAACCCCAGACTTACCCCAGGACCTTCAGTAAATGAAAAGAAAAGACACAATAGGCCATATCATGCTCAATACAAAATTTATTAACAAAAAAGGGAGGGAATCGTACTGCCACTATATTAAGGAAAAAATTTACGGTAAGTAAAATTTCTGTTTTTCCTAACATATAGTGGCAGTACCAGTGGAATATAACAAGATCCCTGGAACATTAAAAGGATGGGTCTCAGCGAACTACAGCTTGAAGTACCTTGCGCCCCAAAAGCAGCCTCAGAGGACAAAAAGATGTCTAGCCGATAGTTCTTAATGAAGGTATGAAAAGAGGACCATGTTGCCGCTTTGCAGATGTTTTCAGGAGAGGCGTTGGATTTTTCAGCCCATTGTGTGGACATGGCTCTGGTTGAGTGTGCTCTAATGGAGGAAGGTAAATGAACATCGTGCAATTCATAAGCCAATTTGATGGTGTCTGTTAACCACCTTGCCAGAGTGGGTTTAGATGCTCCCATACCCTTCTTTTTAATGTGAAAATTAATAAACAGGTGATCCAAGGACCTAAATTCTTCTGAACAGGATAAGTAAACCAGAAGTGTTCTACACACATCCAGGTTATGCCACTTCCATTCTTGATCTTACCTACCCGAACTACAGAATGATGGCAGCACCAGAGGTTCATTCAGAGATTTTCTTGATAGAACTTTTGGTAAAAAAAAAAAGGTTTAATATGCAGCACAACCTTCTCCTGAGGAAAAATTGTGAGTTCTGGCAAAGAGGAAAGGGCTTGGATCCCCCAATTATCCTAGCTGAGGTAATTGCTACCATAAAAATAGTCTTGAGGGATAGAATTCTTAATGATACATTTTTAAGTGGTTCAAATGGAGCTTCACATAAAGACTGCAACACCCAGATAAATCCCAGGAAGGGAATTAAAATTTCAGAGAAGGTCTTAAGAAGAATGGACTTTAAGAAACACCTAAACAGCAGACACAAAGCAAACTCTTGGTGCAAAAAATGGCTGAGTGCTGCAGTGTGAACCTTTAAAGTAGAGACACTCTACTTTAAGTCTAGTTTCAAAGCCTTTTTGCAGAAACTAAAGAATCGTCTTGACAGATGGATGGCAATTATGCCAAACGCACCAATGGAGGAATTTGTTCCAAATTCTTAAATAGATTCTAGATGTAAAAGTTCTAGTGGAGTTAAGAATTGTATGAAAAAGGTTATCTGGAATGCCCTGTTTTTTAGGACTAACCTTGCAACAGCCAGGCTGTCAATCTGAACATGTGAATCATTTTCTCTGGAACAACGACATTTTCCAGGAGTTGATCAAAGTATGGAAGTTCCCAGTAGTCCAGTGCCATGAGTCGCAATGCCGAGAACCAGCTCTGGTTCGGCCAGTATGCTAGGACAGTGATCACTTGGGCTTGGTCTGCTTTGATCTTCTGTAAAACTCTTGGATTCATTGGGATAGGAGGAGAAAGGCATGCCAGGCTGAAACTCCATGGGATCGGCATGCTGTCCAGAACCTGTGGGTTGTCCTGCCTGAACAGTGAAGCAAACTTCTTCACTTTTATGTTCCTTCTCCTTGCCATTAGATCTATCATTGGAAGACTGAATCTTTTTACTATTTCTGAGAAGACTTGAGGGTAAAGAGACCAATTCGTTTGGGACCATTTGTTCCTGCTGAGGTTGTCTGAACAACCTCCTTTTATGTGGACAGCCTTTTATGTGGACTGCTGAAATAGATTCCATGTGTGTCTGGGACCACATCATAATCTCCCCACAAATAATGTGCAGGCCTCTGATTCTTGTACCTCCCTGATGGTTTATATATGCTACCATCGTGCTGTTGTCCGACTGTATCTTTACTGCCTTGTTCAGAATCCAATATTTGAAATTTACTTGGGAATACCAGACTGCTTTGAGCTCTTTGTAATTGGAAGAGTGTTTTATTTTTCCTGGATTCCACAGCCAGTGACAGAAATGTGAAAGAAAATGTGCTCCCCATCATATCTTTGATGCATCTGTTGTGATAATTACACACTCTTGTTGCTGGAACAGAAATCCCATTGACAGGAATCTCGACTGTTTCCACCAAAACAGCTGTTCTAGGGTTGATATCGAAAGGCTGTACTTTGAATCTAGATCGTTGTCCCTTTTTGTCCAATCAGCTAAGATTTCCCATTGAAATGGATGTTTTGCCGATCTGACCTGACGGCTGCAATTGTGGACGTCAAAGTCCCCAGAACACCCATTGCTTGCCTTATAGTGTAATCTTGTTCTTCTTGAAGAAACAACATTTTCTCCTCTATCTTTTGCCTTTTTTCCAAAGGAAGGTGCAGAGAAAATTTCTTGGCATCTATGATGAAACCCAGAAATTGGATTTTTTGAGTTGGAAAGAGCTGGCATTTTTGTACATTGATGATCCAACCATGATTTTTGATGACGTCTTGAGTCGGCTATGATAAGCCAGTCATCCAGGTATCAGATTAATGAAAGAGCCATTTTCCTTAATCTTGCAGTCAATGGCATAAGGATTTTGGTAAAAATTCTTGGGGCCGATGTGAGCCCAAAGGGAAAGGCCTTGAAGTGGAAATTATGGATTCTGGAACCGCAGTGAACTGCAAATCTTAGGTACTTCCTTATTGTTACTGCCATGGGAACATGAAGATAAGCGTCCTTTAGGTCTAAAGTTGCCATAAAATTCCCTTTGTTTAATAAATGGGTGACAGAGTGAATCGTGACCATCTGGAATTTCTGGTAGGGAATATACTTGTTGACATTCTTTAGGTCCAGAATAGGTCTGACCGACTGATCTGGTTTTGGAACCAGGAAGAATCCTGTCGTTTTGGCATCTTTTCAATCACACCCTTTTTCAACAGTGCCACTGCTTCTGACCATAGAGCTTCCTGTTTCTTTTGAGATGGGTAAGATGACAGAAGAAAGCAAGGTTTCAGAGTTTCTGAGAACTTGATTTTGTAGCCTTCACTTATGACCCACTACCTACCTATGTCTTGTAAGAATGTTATATACGTCCACCTACTTTTTCTGTCTTGAAACTTGTAGTCTCTTGTTGGTCTCTGAAAATATTGATTCCTATTAAACTGCAAAATTGTGCTTCAAACTGGGTTTTTTTGCCTTCTTTTGGATCAACAGCAAAAAACAAATGTGAGGAAGGCTGAACTTGATGGACGCAAGTCTCTTTTCAGCTATGTAACTATGTAACTTCCCAGATCTTCTATGCTGGTATTGGAATCTTTTATAATCTGGCATATATCTATTTTCCTGAGGTAATGCCTTTTTCGTGTTGGACATTTGCTTAAACATTTGTTCTAGCTCGGAACCAAGCAGTTTCCCACTTTCTAGAGGTAGTTCACATAAAGAAGCCTTCAATGCCGTATGAACCATGAACATAGCCATAGAGCCCTTCTGGCTACTGAAGCAAGTCTCATTGAACGTGCCGACAATTTTAGGCCTTCCTCAGATAAATCCTGCATACAATCATTAGCCAACCTTATGTTGTGTAAAGGTTGAGGAATTTCCTTTTCCGATCCTTCCATCAGACTTCACTTAATATATTGAAGCCAAACCTTTTGTGCTTGCATGACAGATACTTCTGCAATTGCAGCTTTACTTTGAAACCCCGCTGTTTGGAAGATTTGTCTGCAGGATGTCTCTGCTCTTCTGTCCATTGGATTTTTAAGGCCAAATACCTCACTGATGGGTAGTGTGGTCTTTTTGGACAGTTGTGCCACTTGCGTATCTACCTTTGGTAGATCTTCCCAACTTAAACCTTCTTGAAGTCTGATAAGCTCTTTAAAATCAAAGAAAAGAAAGTTACCTGTGCTCTCTCCTTAATCCCTATATATATTTAGACAAATGGAGGTCATTTAGTTGCTCCAATGGCCATTGGAGGGAATGCCCGCCTGCCAACGTCAAGGCAAACCCCCCTAAAGTGGGTCCTAACACTGACACTTCAGCCTGCTTCCTTGAGCTTCTGGCAAAGTTTTTACTATATATTGGGGCTGATGTGTACTGTAGTCATTGCTTCCGGCCCAGTAGTGATGGGAGTGAGCGCAGGACTTCTCTTTTTGTATTTGTAAGCTCTTTAAAATGTTTGGAAATGAATGCCCTTTTCTCAGGATTCTTCCATTCTGTACATGTTCTAACAACTTCGGGTCTATCGGGAAACTTTTAATTTTCTTTAAAGTAGAATCATCCTCTGATAATACTGTCGTCAGGGCCGGTGCAAGGATTTTTGCCGCCCTAGGCAAAAAAAATATTTGTCGCCCCCCCCCCCATATGTCCTGTCCACCATGTGACATCACAATGCCCCGCCCATATGCTCTGCCATATGGGCCAACGCCAGTCTTCACAAAGTGTCTTTTATCTGAAAAGACAGAGTGTTTACGTTAAAAAGCCTACAGGCACAAGCTATAGACACCAGAACCACTACATTAGGCTGTAGTGCTTCTGGTGACTATAGTATCCATTTAATGTGAGGTAAATTAGAGATTAGTGCCACTAATAATATATTGGATTGCCTAATTAGCACCAGATGAGGACAAGAGGCTGATGATGTGCTCAGTCTGGCTCCACAGGTCTGGTGTAGAACAGGAAGCAGTCCCATTTATTGGGGCCCCTTACACAGCTCAAGGTCTGGGCCCCCGGGGCTTGACCGTGAGTATGCCTACAATGCCCACCCATAAATCCACCTACATGGCCCACCGATGAAATCTCTCACAGGTAGTGGAGTGTATGTGTGTAGGGGATGTTTTATGTGTTATTGTAGAGGATGCAATGTGTGTGTGTCCTTATAGAATGTAGTGTATAGGAATACCAATTTGTGTAAGGGATGTAGTGTGTGTATAGTGGATGCAGTGTGTGTTTGCGTATAAGGAATGCATTGTATGTTTCTGGGTGTGTGTGTGTGTGTGTGTGTGTAAGGGATGCAAGGTGTGTTTCTGTGTATGTAATTGAATGCAGTGTGTGTCTGTAAGGGGTGCATTGAGTGTGTAAGAGATGCATTTTGTTTCTGTGTGTAAGAGAATGAGTGTTTGTGTGAGCGTAAGGGATGCATTGTGTGTTTCGGGTGTGTCTATGTGTGAGTAAGGATGCATTGTATGTTTCTGTGTGTGTGTGTGTGTGTGTGTGTGTGTGTGTGGATGAATTGTGTATGTGTGTAGTGTAAAAGATAAGGTTTGTGGGGTAGGATAGGGACTTTATTTTGTTAAAAACAAAATTCATAGTGCTTACCCCTCCTGTCAATTAGTATTCTCCCTTTCTGTCCCTTAGTGCTCTCCCTTGGCCCCCTGTCCCGCTGCAGTCCCCCCTTGGTGGTCTTCTCACTCCCCTCTCTCCCTCTTAGTGGTCCTCCCTCCCTCAGTGGTCCTCCCTCCCCCCACTTAGTGGTCCTCCTTCTGGCAAACCCCTAGTGGACCTTCCCCCCTCCTCCCTCAGTGGTCCTTACTCCCCCTCCTCTCCCTCAGTGGTCCTTACACCCCCCTCCTCCCCCAGTGGTCCTTAGTGTCCCCTCCCCCAGTGGTCCTTAGTCCCCCAGTGGCCCTTAGTCCCCCTCCTCCTCCCCAGTGGTCCTTAGTCCCCCCTCCTTCACCCCCAGTGGTCCTGGGACCCCCTCCCTCCTTCTCCCAGTGGTCCTTAGTGGTCCCCCTCCCCCAGTGGTCCCCCCCCTCCCCCAGTGGTCCTTACCCCCTCCCCCAGTGGTCCTTAGTCCCCTCCCTCCTCCCCCCAGTCCATACTCCCCCTTCCCTCCTCCCCCAGTGGTCCTTAACCTCCTCTTCCTCTTCCCTCCTGCCAATGTAGCGTGGCCGTGCGGCGCGGAACAGGAACCTCTGTTTCCTGTACCCGGCCGCTGGCGGACTGACAGGAAGTGAGCACCTCTTGTCAGTCCGCCAGCGGCCGGGTACAGGAAACAGAGATTGAGAGACCGGCTGCGCTTCCCTCCTGCCGGTCACTCAAATCCGGCTGCCCTCCATACAGTGCTGCGCCGCATGAGGCTTGCTAAAACGCTCAGGTGGTGAAGCATGTTGGAGCCGCACCGGTGATTCCTGGTGCAGGGATCCGACGCCCCCTGCTAGGTTGCGCCCTCGGCAGCTGCCTAGGTCACCTTACAGGTAGCGCCGGCCCTGACTGTCGTTATCTCTTTAAGGAATCTTTTCAGGTGTTCGGAAGGAAAACCTTCTTCCACACTAGATGCCTCACTAGAATTTGATGAGCATGCTCTGAGGGATTCTATTATTATTAAGTGTTCTTGCATAGCAAGACCACTTATTATCTCACATATATATTACTAAGTGTTCTTGCATAGCAAGACCACTTATTGTTATCTCACATATATATTATTATTCTTATTATAGCCAAATTTGCCACCCTAACTCCTCCCACAGTTTTTACACTACATAGACAAAAATTTACCAAAACGTGCAGATTGTTCCCGATCGGATTGCTATTACTTTGTGGAACGTTTCGCCGAATGGTTCACGGAATATCATCGTTCTTGTGGTGAAATTTGTCCCATAGGAATGAATGGCAAAGCTAGAGTGGGAGCTGGCAAAAGCTGAAAAATCAGGACATGATTTCTAAACTGCCACCACTCCCTTATTTTCAGGCCCACCTACACAAATCTTATATCAAAACGTTCAGCTATCCCTGCTGCCACTAAACATGTCAACGGCTAAGCCATGGTCCTGATAGTTTTCACAATATAATCATTTGTTTGCAACTAATGCCGTCCATTGACATTCATTGAAACTTCACTCTACAAAGCTAAAATTTGAAGTGCAATTTTTAAACTGCGCCTGTGCCTTCATTTTTAATACTTCAGAGACATACTATGCATCACAATGTAGGTCTGGGTCTTGTGATTCTCACAATATAAAGCTCTTCGCTGTAGGATTTATAGTTTGTAAAATACGACCGTTTGAAGATGGCAACCGCCAAAATACTCTGACCTGTGCCAGGCTGCAGCAGCAAGTGATGTCATAGACAAGGCCTTCTGAACACCTGCTAATGTTTTTATAAATGTATGGTTTAATGTAACTGTGCAACAACGTTGCAATTAAATGTGCTATATAAATGATAAGTTACTCTGCCCACTCCAGTTGTAGACTACTGGTGGAGGCAAGAACACTTCACACAATTTCCCCAGAAATTGTAGCTTTTCTAGTTATTATTTTATTACTTATATAGCGCCAGCAAATTCCGTAGTGCTGTACAATGGGTGGCCTAACAGACACGTAATTGTAACCAGATAAATGGAAGCACAGGAACAGAGGGTTTGAGGGCTCTGCTCAATGAGCTTACATTCTAGAGGAAATTGGGTATAGTGACACAAAAGGTATAAGTAGAGGTAATGAAATAGGTTGCTAGAAAAGTATTCACTGAGAACTTATTTATTAAGTTATTTTTGACAGTTGCAGGTGAGGAGTCATTGGGGGTGGGGGTAATAAAACCCACTAACAGTTTAAATGATATGCTTTCCTGAAGAAGTGTGTTTTCAAAGATTTGGTGGAGTGGAGACTGGGTGAAAGTCTAAATGAGAAGGGAACAGAGTTCCACAGAAAAGGTGCAGCCCTGGAGAAGTCTTGGAGGCGAGCATCAGATGTGGGAGTATGGACAGAGTGTAGACGTAGGTCTTCGGCAAAGCACAGGGGCCTTAACGGAACATACTTGTGTATTAGGGAGGATAGGTAGGTTGGAGTAGCATTATGTAGGGACTTGTAAGCAAGCACCAGAATCTTAAATTAAGCTCTATATCTAACTGGAAGCCAATTTAGGGACTGACATAGGGGGAGGCGTGGGAGGTGTGGGCGGGCAGGAAAATTATTCTTGCCGCCGCATTCATTATAGATTGCAGCTGTACAATCTGGGAACACGTAAGACCACTGAGAAGGGGATTGCAGTAGTCAAGGTGAGAAAGAACAATGGCATGGACCAGCACCTTAGTCGCATCTGGTGTTAAATAGGGGCAGATGCAAGCTATGTTTTTGAGATGGAATCGGCAGGTTTTGGCGATCGACTGGACATAAGGGATAAAGGAGAGGTCGGAGTCAAAGAGAACACCTAAGCAGCGAACCTGCGAGGTAGAGGTGATGGTGGTGCCGTTGACTTGGAAGGAGACAGACATGGGAGTAGCAACATTTGAGGGAGGAAAGACCAGAAGTTCTGTTTTGGACAGGTTGAGTTTAAGGAAGTGAGCAGCCATGCAGTTTGAAATCGCGGAGAGGCATTCAGAGACACGAGTCAGGAGAGGACATGTAGATTTGTGTGTCATCTACATATAAATGATACTGGAAGCCAAAGGAGCTGATGAGTTTACCAAGGGAGGCAGTATAGATGGAGAACAGTAGGGGACCAAGGAAAGAACCTTGGGGAATGCCAACAGAGAGGGGTTGGGGAGAAGAGGCAGAGCCAGAGAAATAAAAACTGAAAAATTGCTGGGTGAGGTAGGAGGAGCACCAGGAGAAAGCGGTATCTCATAGACCGAATGTCAGGGTGGCGGTCCGGTGCCCGGGACCCAGACACTGTCTGGGCGGCGGTGCAAGGACCGGCACCCAGTATGCCTGATATTCAGAGTAGGAGTCACAGTGTGGAGGAGGATTAGCAGGGTCTGGTTCAGGGTAACCGCACGCCCACTGGTGTTGAGCACCAGCGTTTGTGCAGCCACATACCAGAACCCTGATTCAGCTTATGTGGATCCCAGGAACTAGAAGCAGGAAATAAGCAGACCTCCCAGGAGCTGAATAGGGAGGCTCTGCAGCAGGTTTGTATCCAGTACAGAAACAAGGCAAGACTAGAGATAGGCACCATACATGAAAACAAGACAAAACTAGGAGAACCCAGAACCGGAGCAGGACAGAAAGTAGAACCCAGAACATGTACACAAGACATGAGGAAAACAAGAACATAACATGGGCATGACTGGACAAGACTGTACATGGACTGGGATTACAAAATAAAACAAGACAAGAGATACAAGGCAAAAGAAGGATAAAAAACTAAGCACTATATATGAAAATCATGGGGATTTAGTCACATTATATGATCATACATTGCACAAGCCTGTCAACAACGCCAACGTACCCCATATCTGGCAGGTCCTACACTACCTAATGTTAGCTAAAACAACCAAAGCATACATATATAGCACTTACCTGCAAGAAAGGGCATAAGACTTGAGCAGCTGCCTGCAGGGACACTGAAACAAAAGGAATGATGGAAAACAAACGGGTGTGGCAACATAAAACAAACATTTAAAGGAAAACTGGAGACTGGGAATCCCAGGGATGGATTACAGGAATGAACCCAGAAATCCCAGCAATAAAGAAAACCAGACAGACTAGAAAACCAGAAAAACCAAGAAAAACTAGGCAAGAATTGTAAAAAGAGTACTGGATACCAGAAGCCAAGGCCAGACATCTCCACAGAACAGAGCAGGATGTGACACCGAGATAACGGAGAATGAGAAGAAGCTGGTGATGATTAACAGAGTCAAAGGCAGCAGAAAGATCAAGCAGAATTAGGATAGAGTAATTAGCAGCGATTAAATCGTTGGATACTTTGGTCACAGCTGTTTCAACAAAGTGACAAGCACAGAATCCAGACTGAAGCGGGACAAGCAGAGAGTTGGATTCAAGGAAGTCTGTCAATCTCGCATTCTATGAGGGGTTGAATAATTTTGAGACTGGATAAGTCATTCTAAGTTGCATTTTCAGTTGTGTGACAGACCTCCTGGCACTCCGACCGGGTACCTACGTCAATCGCTGCTTCCTAGTAATCCTCGAGTACCATAAGCACCACACTGGAACACCATAGCCACCATAAACCCCACAAACGGCTGCAGCTTGGTTGGGGTCTCGCTGTTCTCCACCCACCCTGTACCCAAGACCAGCTTCCAGTGGGTAGACCTCTCCTAGTCGAGAGAGCAAAGCAGGCTGCTCTTAAAAGAGCAATCATTATAATCCAAGGGAGTATAGCGATTACAGCAATTCCCAGAGTGAATATAGCTCTCCAATCCCCTAAACATGAGTCTAGACTTCATGAAGGGTAAAACTAAATCTGTTTAATGGCAGCCACAACAGGCTTTATATGCAGGTCCCCATGCAAGGGGCACACCCCCCTGGACCTGAGAGTAG